TAAAATTATTGTTATTTGATATATTTTGGATTTATATGTTATTTTTATAGATACAATTTATTTAAGTAAATACTCTGTTTTTAATGAAATTGTCAGAGAACACGCATTTTCTACGAAATGTCTCGAACAATCAGGCGAGTTTTATTTCAAATTATTCTAAAGAATATTTTTTTAAATGAGCCATCTCGGATATTGATGAATCTATCACTCCAACCGTCACGGTCCAGCATAAAGTTCGAATGATCATTAGAGCGGTTTCCTATGTCTCTACATAGTTGGTCAATGTAGGTGATTGTTGTGCGACTAACCCGTCTTGCTCCAAAGCATTAGGTCATTCTTCTTCAATTTCTTGTTTTGCTCGCCAGCAGTCTCCTGAAAAGCGCATTCTACGTTCCAATAAAATTGTAGAAATATCAGGGATGGACCTATAAATCTGTGATTTTTTTGGATGTTGTCCAAGAGAAGTTAAGCATAGCTGACAGAATCTGAGTGTAGGTTCCATCAAGCTTAGTCTCAAGCATTTTAGTTAATGATCAAGCAGTGGTACCCTACATTAAAACAGACTCTATCACTGCTGACACCATTACCAATACCTCAGTAAAATCTGTCGAATGTAAAGACTATTGAGTAGAAACAATTATGGGTTAGAATCTAGTTGTTTTTAGCTATTGTATAGTGTTGATTTTTTTAAGTACTGTATTCTCAGTAAAAAGCTGCAAATTTATTTTTTGAAGAAAATACTCCAGCTCTAATTGGTCCATCTCAGTCGCCATCTTAAATCCTAGATCTGAATGTTATGGATGAATGTATCTGGAGCATAGTCTTAACTCACTTGCAAAACCGTTGTCCTGACATCGTCGATATTGATTCATTGAAGTGGAACTTAACCAAAGCTTGGAATGAAGTTCATCTTGCCACTATCCACAAAGATAATGCTTCCTGGTTACCACGCTTACAAATTTGTGTTAAACATTCAGGCAAACATTTCAAATATCTATGATTATTGTTCAGCTTGTGCATGAATTATGATAGCTAAATAAATTTCTTTCTGATTTTACCGCTTTTTTACTGGGCATCCTGTATTGACTCATTATTTATTACTGATTACTGAGGTTTTTTTTAATTTATTTATTCATTTATTAATTAATTTATTTATTCGCTATTTATTATTATTATTATTGAATCTAATTTGTTGTGGTTGTTCGTGAATTCACACTTTTTTTAGTTTGATTATTGTTTATTCATTTAATTCGTTAAATAATTCATTTTATTTTTTGTTTATTTCTTATTTTCTTTTTCGGGGTTTGTTATCTTATTTGTTTAGTTTAAAGCATGTCAGGGCAAACTGCGACTCGCAGGCCGCATGCTGCCCGGCGCAGAGTTTTCTGCGGCTCGGCGCGGAGTTTTCTGCAGCTCGGGGCGGAGTTTTCTGCAGCTCTGGGCGGAGTTTTCCGCGGCCCGGCGTGGAGTTTTCTGTGGCTCGGCGCGGAGTTTTCTGTGCCTTGGCGCGGGGTTTTCTGTGGCCCGGCGCGGAGTTTTCTGCTGCCCGCCAAGACATTTGGGAAAAAAAAGCACGTCTAAAATGTCATAACCTTGTCAAAGTAAACTGCCGCCTTCAGCCGAGACTTGCCCTCCTTGTGCGATAGATTCGGATCCGTGTTTAACAACGCGCTACGCATGCGCGGTCAGTCAACTTACCTACTTTTTTTTTCTACCTTGTGGAGCCATGAATCCTTCAAAGAAGCGTGATGTTGGTGATGAATGCCGTGTATTTAATGACGACTGGATACACAAATACTTCTTTTGCAACATGCGGTATGCTTAATTTGCAATGAAACAGTTGACGTATTTAAGGAATATAATCTGAAACCACACCACCAAGCTAAACATGAAGAATTTTGTAATGATTTTTCTGAGGAAGAACGTAAGAAAAAAGCTGCAGATTTTGTTACGAAGTTTAAGAAACAACAATCAATATTCCTCAAGCAAGTGGGGTCTTCGTGATCGTGCAACGGAGGCCAGTTTCATTGTAGCTTACAACCTCGCCAAACACAAACCATTTTCGGGTGGCGAGTTTGTGAAAAAGTGCATGGTGGCTTGTGCACGTGTAGTGGTTCCTGAAGTTCAAGAGAAATTTGAAACTATTTCACTATCAAGAAGGACAACAATACGACGCATTGACTTAATAAGTGAAGAACTCAAGAAATAGCTGAACACGGCAAGCAAAAACTTTTTTTTCGTTTTCATTGGATCTCGATGATAGCACGGATAATGAAGACACTGCACATTTGCTTTTCTTTATCCGTGGAATTGATACAAATTTCGTAATTACAGAGGAATTACTTGATCTGGAATCCATGAAAAATACAAACACTGGTCAGGACCTGTTTGAATGTGGTGTGGATTGTGTTGAAAAACGTGGCTTGCCATGGAATAAAATGGCAAGTATAACCACAGATGGAACCAGAACTTTTAGTGGAAAAATTTAGGAATGATTAAA